GGTCTAAGTCAGGTCCCACGCAATTGAAATAAGCTGTTGGCAGGGCTGCATTCCCTTGGAGACGCGAGAGGAACAATTTGTCCTGCTTTTCCCAACGTGGCCGATGGCCCCTTGCTCCATCTGCCTTCGGAGCCAGCCACAGTGCGTGGGTTGAGTCCTCACATCCCCTCAGACCTTCCTTTGCCTCCCTCCTCCACTTTTAAGGAAACTTGTGACGATATGGGCACAGCCAGAATATCCAGGACAGTCTGTTCTAAAATCAGCTGTTAGCACCCTTGATCCCTTTGCCATGTTAGGTAACATCCACAAACTCAGGGGTGAGAACATGGACATCATTGGAGGCCATCCTTCTGCCTCTCAGGCGACCCCAAACAAACCTGCTTAATCAGTTTTGTGAGCCGAACTGAATTTTTTTTTTAATATATTTTTATTGATTTTTTTACAGAGAGGAAGGGAGAGAGATAGTTAGAAACATCGATGAGAGAGAAACATCGATCAGCTGCCTCCTGCACATCTCCCACTGGGGATGTGCCGGCAACCCAGGTACATGCCCCTGACCGGAATCGAACCTGGGACCTTTCAGTCCACAGGCCGACGCTCTATCCACTGAGCCAAACTGGCTTTGGCGAGCCGAACTGAATTTTAAAAACTTTTAGGCCTGGCCAGCCAGTTTGGCTCAGTGATTGAGAGTCCACCCTTGAGCCAGGATGTCACAGTTTGGTTCCTGGTCAGGGCAGATGCCCAGGTTGTGGGATTCCCCAGTAGAGGGTGTGTGGGAGGTGGCCAAACAATGATTCTTTCTCATTGATGTTTCTGTCCCTCTCCAGTCTCTGAATAAAAACATTATTTTTTAAAAAACTTTTAGGGTGTCATGTCTGTGAATACCACACAGCAGTATGGAACTTCTTACCTGCCCCATCAGCTAGTCCCACATGTTTCACTGCACTCCCCTTCCCATCAGAACTTGACAGGAGAAGTCAAAGATTGACTGACCTGTTGACATAATTTAGATGCAATTGTGTTGCCTGCGCTGGTTTGGCTCAGTGGGTAGAGCATCAGCCTGCAGACCAAAGGGTCCGGGTTCAATTCCGGTCAAAGGCACATACCTTGGTTGTAGGGTCCTCCCCAGCCCAGGCCCTGCTCGGGGCTCATGCAGGAGGCAACCAATAAATGTGTTTCTCTCACATTGATGTTCCTGTCTTTCCTTCTCTCCCCCACTCTCCCTTAAGAAAATCAATGGAAAACTATCTTTGGGTGAGGATTAACAAAACAGGATGCAATCGTGCCTACCGCTGGCAGACTGAAGCCAGCCCAGCTCTCACCTGTAGTTCCTGTCCTCCCACAGCCCAGACTCCAGGCTCTTTCACTGGCTGGATTCCTAGTAACAGCCACAGGGTAGACACAGGTTCCCTTTCCGACATGTCTCATACTCCCCCAGAGCCTCAGGCCAGTGGCCTACACTCCCAGCCAGCTCCTTCTGTTTCCTTGTTTACTGTAACATGAAGAAAACTGGAAACTATTCGAAATATCCAAAGAATTTTGGGTATATCAATTATGGCATTTCCCCTTACTGGGATAACATGGCCATCCAGAATTAGGATGTAGAATTTCAAAAATAATTACAAAAATATTCAATGACAATGCCCATAAATCTAAATTGCATATATTTTTACAAGTAAAAACAGGTACATATGTAGAATAATATAGGAAATAAAGAAAAAACATTAAGAATTTAGTTCTGTAGGTCAGATAAATAATAAAACCATGAAATAAATATGTCAAGAACGGGCAACTGGTGGCATTGTTTCCTACAGAAGACGGCATAGGGACCTGTAGTGAGATCTGCTTAAACTTACGACCTGGGACTTAAGCGCTTCCTAAGATCCCTTGCTGATGTTTCTACTTGGTTGACCCATGTGAATGGCTGAGTAACCACTGGTCCACCCACATCCCAGGACTGAGGTTAGGACAAGCCCCAGTCATGAGCCCACACGCTACAGTCCACTCCAGGCGGCTGCAGGGGCAGTCCAGGCCAGCAGCCCCTCCTCCATACCTGTGTGCCTCCACTCTGCCCACCTCTCATTTCATTTCAAACACAGCTAGTACAACACATTTTATTTCACTGGAAAAATCTGTATAAAGAACCAAACCTGGTTCCATGAAAACATTTACCATAGCTTAAATAAAGGTCAAGGGGAGAGGGGGGGTAAGTGCCCTGCCTTGTGCGAGCTGTCACAACCTCACTCAGTGAGGCCCTGTCTGGTGAAATCTCAAGTGTCCCAGAGGAGTCTGCTTGGCCCGCTCTGGAGGCCTCGATAGCAGTGGGACGTCTGCTTTCTGCCCACAGACGGCTGAAATCCTGAGCTGCCACAGTACTTATCAAAAACATGTGGACAGACAATGCAAGGGGGGTGCGTTGGTGTTTTCAGCTAGTCGTATAGGCAGTTAACACTTCAACTAGGAAAGAAAATATATACTTTATCAAAAAATAGTTCTAATATATAGAAAAACATTTCAATCCTCTAGGGCCTCTGCCCCTTATTTACATTCACAAAGCCACTGGGAGAGCCCAGGACTGACGGGAGCAGGGAGGCAGGGCCTCTTGGGGCATTGCCATCGCTTACTGCATGAGTAGATGAAGTTACAAGAGAGACTTGTCATTTGCTCATTTGGTGACAGGATGCAGGGGAATCACTGGAGGTGAAAGAAGTGAGACCTAGTCCTGGGCCAGGTCCGACCGTGCACAAACCCCAAGACATCTTTGAAAGCTTGGACCAAGGCCCCGTGTTCTTGAGAACCACTGTGAGCAAGTGGCTGATCGGGATGCT